TAAAATAAAATTAAAACAGTTTTTGTTAAGTTTATACCTATGAAATAGATCTACATGAAATTATTGTAAAAACATTTATTGTTCAAATGTAAATGGTATATCCGTTGAAATAAATAAATAAATAAATAAAAATAAAAAAGGTATTTGAAGGGCACTGTCAATGTTGGCCTAAAATATTGTGGAGTAGATAATGAAGACAAATTATGTTGTTATGTAGATGCAGATTGGGGTGGTGACACTCAAGATAGAAAATCAGTCACAGGATACCTTTTTAGAGCATTTAATAATATTTTAATGTGAAGTACAAGAAAACAATCTTGAGTGTCATTATTTACAACTGAAGCAGAACTGGTGGCTTTGTGTACTTCAGTTACTGATGGATTGTGGCTGAGAAAGCTTTTCATTGATTTTGAGGTTAACTTTGAATCAATAATTTTCTTTGAAGATAATCAGGGTTGTTTGGCAATAATTAGAAATTCTTCTGATAATCGTAGAGTCAAACATATTGATTTAAAGTTTAATTTTGTATCTGAAAATGTAGAAAAGGGTTTGATAAACTTAATTTATGTAGATACAAATAATCAGCAAGCTTATATTTTAACAAAAGGTTTATCAAGGACAACATTTCTAAAATGTAAAGATTTATTGGGCTTAAGGGATTTTAGCGAAGGGGGGATGCTGAAATATATGCTAAAATCTTCTTATACCTGCCTGGGGCCTGTTGCACAATGATTTACAAACTAATAGTATTATACTTGTAGGTTGTAGTTTGTAAAATGCTGTTGCACAATGGTTGAGCTAGTAATTTGAATTAACAAGTTGTAGAATAAAAAATATTATTGTATTTTGCACTAATTTCAGAAGTACTTGTTGCACAATTAGTGGTTATAAAAAAATAAGTCTGAAAAAATTTTCATTTCACTAGTGAATGTCTACAAGTCTAAGTTCACCTATAATTTAGTGATATCTCTATTAGTGAAAATATTTTCGAGGATTTTCTTTACACCACGCTCGAGAACATGTTGGAAAATATATTGTTTACTTTAAGTAGTGAGGAGGATGAGTTAGGAAATGGTCAGCCCCTGCGCCGCCGGAAAATTTTTCGGCTAAGAATCAATTTTAATTTTGAAACAAGAGCGGAATATTTGGAACGATTTCAAATGCTTCCAGAAAAAGTAGAAATAAGGTTAATTGAACACATAGGCTATAGAATTCAACATAATACAAGAAAAAGTGGCGCCGTTTCAGTGAAACAGCAAGTGTGTATAACTTTACATTGGCTTGGAAGTGGTGCTCAATACCATACCATAGCCGATATGCATGGGGTGAACAAAGCATCAGTATGTCGCTCCATAAAAAGTGTAACTGTAACTAATGCAATAAATAGTATATTACATACCGAGGTGGAAAGTGTTTCATTACTGTCGAGAGATTTTAGTTAGACCGAGGCACAGCCGAGGTCTAACTAAAATCTCGAGACAGTAATGAAACTTTTCACCGAGGTATGTATACTATTTTATTTACAATCATTCGAATTTTGAAATTTTTATTTGAATTAAAACTAAAAAATACAATAATTGACAATTTCATTTACTTTCGGCCCACGGGTCGAAAGTTTACTTTCAACCCGTGGGCCGAAAGTAAAAGTCAAAAAATACAATAAATTTTAAAAATTTCATTTACTTTCGGCCCACGGGTCGAAAGTAAACTTTCGACCCGTGGGCCGAAAGTAAAAGTCAAAAAAGTGACATTTTCGAACTTTTTAAAAGTCAGTGAAGTCAACATTACATGTATGATTGTAAATAATAGTATTTTATTTAATCGCGTTATATCATGGCCGGAAAATATTGAAGAGGAGACCCGAAGGTTTTATGAAATAGCGAGCGCATTTTCCAAATGTGTGTGGAGTGATAGATGGGTCTTTCATACCCATTTATCACGAAGCTGCATTTGTGGATCGATGAGGGTAACATTCCATAAACTGCATGTTTGTTTGTGGTAGTAGAAAAATGTTCTTCTATGTAAGTGCCAATTGGCCTGGTAGTGTCCATAATGCGCATGTCCTGCGGAACAGTAGCTTTTACAGAAGAATGGAACGTCGAAACATATTTCCAAATGATGCAGTCATATTAGGCGATTCCGCTTATCCTCTAAAGGAATGGCTAATGACACCCCTTCACCACGATGCAAATAATGAAGCAGAACGAACATACAATCGACGTCATAAAGGAACAAGGCAAGTGATAGAAGGAGCATTGGGAATTTTGAAACAGAAGTTTCCATGTCTTAACCATCTGCGAGTGCAGCCGGGTTATGCTGCGAATATCGTGAAGTGTTGTACCACTCTATGCAATTTTTCAAGAGATGCTCAGGACGAAAACATTGAAGAGGAAAATGAGATTATCCCCCGTAACGTCGATAATATTGAAAATTTAATACATGGACCCCGAGGGGGAAACCACCTTAGAATTTTGGTGTACAAGCTGATACAATTTTTTAGAATTTCTTAGAATCTTTTAGAATTATCAGTATTTTTTAGCATTTTCTAGAATTATTTAGAATTTTTTAGTATTGTTTAGAATTCAATTAGAATTTTTTAGAAATAATTTAGAATTTCCACCCATTGCTCATGCTTAAGAGCCTGCGCACTGTGGAATCTGTTGGGATTTTTGGAAATTTTTTTGAATTTTTAGAATTTTTCGAGAATTAGCATTTTTCAGAATTTTGGAATTATTTTTGGTGCAAAAAATTAGGTAGGTGGGTTTCCTCCGAGCGGGAAACCTTTTTAGAATTTTGGTGTACAGGGTGATCTATTATAAATGTCACCCCCTCCTAACTTTTTCATTTGACATTTTTGACAAAAGTGTCGAATACAAAAGTTTCAATAAATTGTCGAAAGTTTTTAACTAAGTCAGTTTTAGACATACAGGGTGCGTCAAAAAAGTGTAGCAGTGTAAAGTTATATTTTTTTAAATGGAACACCCTGCATATTGTGCGCTTATTTGTTAGTCCTTTTTAACATGATTTCAACATTATACGATTTGATGTCTATCTTCGATATTTATAAGGAAAAACATGAAAACTCCTATCAAGGTTTCATATTGAAAAAAGAAAAAATTATACCATTTATGCTTTAGAGAATTTTTTTTATGAACAGTTTATTGTTCTAATTTTATTCATTAATATAGAAGGCGAAATATTATATTATAATAAATCCAGTTATTATTATTATTTTTGAAAAAATAACATGAGAGAACTAGCAAGGGATTTTCACGTTTTTCCCTATAACTATTGAAGATAAACAGAGAGATAAACATATCAAACCGTATATCGTTGAAATCATATTATCTGGTATGGTGCTGGAACTGGTAAGGGGACTAACAAATAAGCGCGCAATATACAGGGTGTTCCATTTAAAAAAATATAACTTCTTACTGCTGCACTTTTTTGACGCACCCTGTATGCCTAAAACTAACTTAGTTAAAAAAAATGATAATTTCTTAAAACTTTTGTACTTATTTGACAGTTGACACTTCTGTCAAAAACGTCAAATGATAAAGTTAGCAGGGTCGACATTTATAATAGATCACCCTGTATAAACTGATAGAATTTTTCAGAATTATCAGTATTTTTTTGCATTTTTTAGTATTTTTTAGCAATTTCTAGAATTATTCAGTATTTTTCAGAATTCAACTAGAGTTTTTTAGAAATAATTTAGAAGCATGCTCAAGATGTTGGGATTTTTTAGAATTTTTTAGAATTTTTTGGGACAATAATAACATGAAAATTAGCATTTTACAGAATTTTAGAATTTTTGGTGTACAAAATTAGGTAGGTGTTTTCCCCCTCGATGGAACCCCTGCCCCAAGGGCGCGAGTTCGACAGCAACAAATTATAAATTTTATGAATATGTGAACATTTAAATTGTTATAATAATGATAATAGTTCATTTGGTTGGTTTTTATGCTATGTTTAGCCGTTTTTGAATTCTCGTTAGTTTGTCGATGGCCTAGTGTTAGAGAAACAATTGTGAATTTTGAGTTTAAACTTCAATCTGAGTAAATGATCAGGAGAAAAATGAAATTCTGGTACCGTCGTTAAATTATGAGTGTAAATAGCTGACTTATAGATTTCCGTAATTTTACTAATAAAACCTATTTTGTTTGACAAGTGTAGCTAGGCGAATTGTGCAACGCAACTTATTAGGACTAATAAATAATGGCTTGTAACTTGTGATTTGTAACTTGTAGAATACGTTTTTATTGTGCAACAGAGCCCTGGTGTTTCAATTGTAGTTAGATAGATGAAAAAATGTATGTTACTGAAGTATGTAGAATTGTAATCCTGTCTTCGTTCTCTGTGAAATAAAAGTTAATTTGAAGAAGTATCCACTGCAGTTTAAATAGTAATTATAACAAAAATGATGTTGTCTGATTGGTCTATTTTATAATAAGTGAAATAATCTGTACTTAATTTTAGCTTATTAAAGTCTTAAGTAATTTTGAAGGTCTTTTATTACAAGTGTCCCATGTATGTATATATTTATAAGCTACTGTGAAAAGTAGCTAGCTACCGAAACAAGCTACTTTTGATAGGTAGTTGAAGTTACTTTTATTGCTTAAGCTAAAATTATCATTTTTCCAGGAAAATCCTGTCTTGTCTACTTTAAATTAGTTGCAAATTGTCTGTGTCTGTGTTTTATTGCATATTTTTATTAATAACAAAAATTTAGCTCAGAAAGTAGCTTTCAACTTATAGTTTAGCTAATAATAGCTAAGCTATTTTTTTAAAGAGGTAGCCGAGTTCTTAGTAATTTAACAAGCTAGCAAGTAGCTTGACAAGAGCTGATGATGAGCAACCACTAAATCTACTGAGCTGCTTGTTGGGGCCCCAAAATCAAATTTGAAGAGGTTATGGTATGCAATGGGGGCCCCGAAATAATGCTCACATAAAAAACTATTGAAATCAAACAAAATACATTCTAAAAACAATATAATTACCTGAGAGGGGCCCAATTATTTGTACTTATAAGGGGTATTTACGTATAAAAAGGCTCAATATCACAGATTTGGGATTTCACACAACTGCACTTTTAACATAAACTATATAAGTTTTATAGTACATTTAATTGATTAATAATAATAATTAAATACTAAATAGTTAATTTTAAGTTATTATTAATAAATAAAATATAAAATTACCAATAAAACAGCTTTTGTCAGTGTCAATGTCAGCGTCAGCTAAAAATACGATCAGAAGAATCTGCCATCTCTTTCTAGCTCAATATAAAAAACAAAGTTGACAATACTAGTAAATACGAAACAAATGAACTGTAATGTTGGGAGACGTCAAACGAGACAACGTCATCTAATTTGCCATCCATTGAAAATTTCTTTAAGGTGTAATGTTTTCTTTAAAAAAAACTTGTAAATAGGATAAATAAGGAAAATACCCAGTATCTTATATTTGTTAAAATGGTAAGTAATGCCCTTAATAATTATCCAACCCAAAATAATCCCCAATTCTTGTGTAGGTTCTCATAGCAGCAGCAGTTTGCACCAAAGCAGGCAAAAGTAAGTAAAACTTTACCATTTTAATTGATTTCCTCTTAATTTAAATTAACTGTAGCGATCGTTTCTCGTCAATTTGTCGAGATGACGAAAGCCCGCATCGAAGGGCTGCTGTCAGCATTCCCAAAACTCATTCCTACAGGAACTCAGCATACATTCGTCGAAACAGATTCTGTACGTTACGTGTACCAACCTCTGGAACGTTTATACATGCTTTTGATTACTACAAAACAAAGTAACATACTGGAAGACTTAGAAACTCTTCGCCTGTTTGCCAGAGTTGTAAGAATTATATATATATTTTTTTTTTTGAAACTTTGTAGGTAATCTTTTTTATTTTAAAAACAGATTCCAGAATATTGCAGATCCTTGGAAGAAAACGAAATAATCGATAACGCTTTCAATTTAATATTCGCCTTCGACGAAATCGTAGCCCTAGGCTACAGAGAAAGCGTAAACCTATCTCAAATTCGCACTTTTGTCGAAATGGACTCCCACGAAGAAAAAGTCTACCAGGCAGTTAGACAAACGCAAGAACGCGAGGCCAAGCTCAAGATGCGCGAAAAAGCAAAAGAATTGCAACGCCAGAAGCTCGAGCAAATGAAAAAGGGCATCAAAGCCAACTTTGGCAGTAGCGGTGGCTTTGGGACTTCGTCTAGCAGCAACAGCTATACTCCAATTGATCCTGTGGCCCCACAAAACGACGTCAAGCCTCCTCAGCATATTGTGGCTGCACAAAAACGCGGCATGAAGCTGGGAAGCAAAGGCAAAGATGTTGAATCCTTTGTTGATCAATTGAAATCTGAAGGAGAAAAAGTCAGCACTCCTGCAGCAAATAATATCATAAGTAAAACACCAACAATTAAAGCAGAAATGGTTGATGATGTTCATTTGAGGTTAGAAGAAAAACTTATTGTCCGTATGGGTAGAGATGGTGGGGTGCAACAATTTGAAGTCCTAGGTTTGGTCACTTTGCATATTGGCAATGAAAAATGGGGCCGGATTAGGGTCCAACTGGAAAACAAAGACATTAGGGGTGTCCAGCTTCAAACCCATCCTCAAGTTGATAAGGAATTGTTTAAAGTACGTTCTCAAATTGGATTGAAACAAGCCGCCAAGCCGTTTCCTTTACACTCTGATGTTGGAGTGCTTAAGTGGCGTTTGCAAAGCACTGAAGAGACTTTTGTGCCTTTACTTATCAATTGCTGGCCTTCTGAAGCTGGAGATGGCAGCTGCGATGTTAATATTGAATACGAATTGGCTCATACAAATTTGGAACTTGCTGATGTTAATATTTCAATTCCTTTACCGTAAGAAATATTTTATTTTGTTTAGTTTTGTTGTAATAATTTTTGTTTTAATTAGTATTGGATGTACTCCTTTGGTTGGAGAATGTGATGGCACTTATACGCACGAATCTAGAAAAAACTTATTGGTTTGGAGTCTCCCTTTTGTAGATGGCAGTAATAAAAGTGGCTCTATGGAATTTAATGCTCCTAGAGCAATTGCTGGGGACTTTTTTCCATTGAATGTTTCATTTACTTCGAAAACTTCTTATGCTAGTATTAAAGTAAGTAGGTTTAATTTTATTAAAATAATTATTATATTAATTTAATTTTTTTTTAGATTATAGATGTTTTATTAGTAGACGATGATTCTCCAGTTAAGCATTCAGTTGAAGCAGTCTTGTACCCGGAAAAATATGAAATAGTATAAGAATCTATAATACAGTTATTATTATTTTGATAAACTATAGGCCACTTTGTATAAATGTTTTACTAATAAAAATTTTAGTTATTATTTGAAATGTTACTTTTTTTTTTGTATAAGTATATCCTAAGTTAAGGCCATTGGGGTTTTACTCAAAAATAAAACAAACAATTTTTATTTGTATTTTATTTCTTAGTTTTATGAAGAAAAATATAACTTAAAAATATCTATTCAAAGACAATGGAATTACTTCTGTGTTTTTTTCGTTGGCCAATACGAGTGTATAAAATAAAAAAAAATTGTTTGATATTTAAAAATCTAGATCACTGGAATTTTTGTTTTACTCATCTCGTATCAAAAAATTAAGTGAACATGTGCTACACCAAAATCAATTAAAAAAATATACACAATTATCAATGAGGCTAAAAAAATATATACCAAGTAACCTTTGCAGCACATATTTACAAACCAAAAAAATCACAAATTTATTACACTTTTTCATCGACAACTGACAGTTCGTGAGTGTTGGAAACCTCCTGAAAAGATTGTTCCAAACAGTGTTTCAATTCCATGTAGGAAACTACCAAAATGCTTTGCTCATCTCGAGACATGAGGCAAATTTTTTCAGGTACACCAGCATCCAACTTGTTGAGGCATTGTACAATGTGCGCCATGTCCATCCAAGGCTGGCCATCTTCATTAACTTGATGGAAGACGAAATCTCTAAATAACTTAAGCATATACCTATCTCCAGTTTCAGACCAAGAAGTTTCCATATTAAACTCGGGCCTTTCATTTATACTAGCAAGTTTGGTCATTAATCTAAACAACCTCCCATTTTGCACTTCTTTACTCAACTCCGTATCCAACACTTCAATATGACTGTGCAAGTTATCTAATTGAGTGTAAAACCTCGCTCCAATCATCGGCATCAAATCCGTCACGCTTCTACGTTGATTGGTCAGCAAATACATGATCAAATTCCTCAGATCCATAGTATAAGTGCGGCTCACCACGTCCAAGGCCGTTGTGATGTTTTCGCGTTGCACCGCAATCTAAAGAGAGGCGAGTTTAGTTGAGTTACTAGGGAAATTTCGCAGGTTCTTACAGTTGATTTGCAAGCTAGAGCCAGCACCAACTTGCCCAGAGCAGTGAGATCTTCTTGCTGGTAAGCGTGCACCAAGGCCAAATGGTTTATTGCTGAGTTGCTGTCGTGCAGCACCACGTCCATCACAGCTAAACAGCTTAGTCTTAATCTGAAAGGGAATTTCTTGAAATATGAGAAGAGTTTGTTGTCCAAATCTTCCTATGATGCGATTTAGTTAAAATGATTTTTCCTTGAATGGAAAATACACACTAAAAATTATAATTTTCATTATTACTTATTGAATGAAACAAGCAGAAAAATAATCAGATTTTTTCAAAATTTTTTTCTATGAGGCTTAGATATGACATTTTACCATATTTTGACCATTTACTCAAAAACTACCTGAGGTGAAAATTTGAGATTTTGAGGGTATATTTTTGGGGCTTATAGGCAAAACATACTAAAAATTTAAATCAATTGAGCTAAGAATTACAAAGTACCAAGATTTTTAAAAATGAACATTTTTTCTATCAGGCTAAATATGACATTCCTCTACATTTTGACCATTTACTCAAAAACTAGTCCAGGCGCAAATATGAGATTTTGAGGGAATATTTTTGAGGCTTAGAGGCAAAACATACTAAAAATTTAAATCAATTGAGCTAAGAATTACAAAGTTATAAGATTTTTAAAAATGAACATTTTTTCTAAAGGCTAAATATGACATTCCTCTACATTTTGACCATTTACTCAAAAACTACTGCAGCCACAAATATGAGATTTTGAGGGAATATTTTTGACGTTTAGAGGCAGAACATACTAAAACTTGAAATCAATTGAACTAAAAATTACAAAGATACAAGATTTTCAAAAATGAATATTTTTTTCATAAGGCTAAATATGACATTCCTCCACATTTTGACCATTTACTCAAAAACTACTCCAGGCGCAAATATGAGATTTTGAGGGAATATTTTTGAGGCTTAGACGCAAAACATACTAAAAATTTAAATAAATTGAGTGAAAAATTACAAAGTAACAAGATTTTTAAAAATGAACATTTTTTCTATAAGGCTAAATATGACATTTCTCCACATTTTGACCGTTTACTCAAAAACTACTTCAGGCACAAATATGAGATTTTGAGGGAATATTTTTGAGGCTTAGAGGTAAAACATACTGAAAATTAAAATGAATTGAGCAAAAAATTACAAAGTTACAAGATTTTTAAAAATGAACATTTTTTCTATATGACTAAATATGACATTCCCCCACATTTTGACCATTTACTCAAAAACTACTTCAGGCACAAATATGAGATTTTGAGGGAATATTTTTAAGTCTTAGAGGCGGAACATACTGAAAATTCAAATCAATAGAGCGAAAAATTACAAAGTTACGTAATTTTTAAAAATGAACATTTTTACTTTAAGGCTAAATATGACATTCCTCCACATTTTGACCATTTACTCAAAAACTACTTGAGGCGAAACATACTGAAAATTCAACTCAATAGAGCGAAAAATCACAAAGTTACGTGATTTTTAAAAATGAACATTTTTTCCATCAGGCTAAATATGACATTCCTCTACATTTTGACCATTTTACTCAAAAACCATTTCAGGCACAAATATGAGATTTTGAGGAAATATTTTTGAGGCTTAGAGGCGAAACATACTGAAAATTCAAATCAATAGAGGGAAAAATTACAAAGTTACGTGATTTTTTAAAATGAACATTTTTACTATAAGACTAAATATGACATTCCTCTACATTTTGACCCTTTACTCAAAAACTACTTCAGGCATAAATATGAGATTTTGAGGGAATATTTTTGAGACTTAGAGGCATAATATACTGAACATTCAAATGAATTGAGCAAAAAATTTCAAAGTTACAAAATTTTTAAAAATGAACATTTTTTCTATAAGGCTAAATATGACATTCCTTCACATTTTGACCGTTTACTCAAAAACTACTTCAGGCATAAATATGAGATTTTGAGGGAATATTTTTGAGACTTAGAGGCATAATATACTGAAAATTCAAATCAATTGAGCAAAAAATTACAAAGTTACAAGATTTTTAAAAATGAACATTTTTACTATAAGGCTAAGTATGACATTCCTCTACATTTTGACCATTTACTCAAAAACTAATTCAGGCACAAATATGAGATTTTGAGGGAATATTTTTGAGGCTTAGAGGTAAAACATACTGAAAATTCAAATGAATTGAGCAAAAAATTACAAAGTTACAAAATTTTTAAAAATGAACATTTTTTCTATAAGGGTAAATATGAGATTTTTCCACATTTCGACCATTTACTCAAAAACTACTTCAGCCACAAATATGAGATTTTGAGGGAATATTTTTGAGACTTAGAGGAATAACATACTGAAAATTCATATCAATTGAGCGAAAAATCACAAAGTTACAAGATTTTCAAAAGTGAACATTTTTTCTATAAGGCTAAATATGACATTTCTCCACGTTTTGACCATTTACTCAAAAACTACTTGAGGCGCAAATATGAGATTTTGAGGGAATATTTTTGATACTTAAAGGCATAACATACTGAAAATTCAAATCAATTGAGCAAAAAATTACAAAGTTACAAGATTTTTAAAAATGAACATTTTTTCTATAAGGCTAAATATGACATTCCTTCACATTTTGACCGTTTACTCAAAAACTACTTCAAGCACAAATATGAGATTTTGAGGAAATATTTTTGAGGCTTAGAGGCGAAACATACTGAAAATTCAAATCAATAGAGCGAAAAATTACAAAGTTACGTAATTTTTAAAAATGAACATTTTTTCTATAAGGCCAAATATCACATTCCTCTACATTTTGACTGTTTACTCAAAAACTAATTCAGGCATAAGTATGAAATTTTGAGGAAATATTTTTGAGACTTAGAGGCATAACATACTGAAAATTCAAATTATTTGAGCGAAAAATTACAAAGTAACAAGATTTTTAAAAATGAACATTTTTACTATAAGGCTAAATATGACATTCCTCTACATTTTGACCATTTACTCAAAAACTACTTCAGGCACAAATATGAGATTTTGAGGGAATATTTTTGAGGCTTAGAGGTAAAACATACTGAAAATTCAAATGAATTGAGCGAAAAATTACAAAGTTACAAATTTTTTAAAAATGAACATTTTTTCTATAAGGGTAAATATGACATTTCTCCACATTTCGACCATTTACTCAAAAACTACTTCAGCCACAAATATGAGATTTTGAGGGAATATTTTTGAGACTTAGAGGAATAACATACTGAAAATTCATATATATATATATATATATAAGGCTAAATGACATTTCTCCACGTTTTGACCATTTACTCAAAAACTACTTCAGGCGCCAATATGAGATTCTGAGGGAATATTTGTGAGGCAAAACATACTACTCCAATAGTATATTACATGCGGAGGTGGAAAGTGTTTCATTATTGTCGAGAGATATAATAGGTCAAGAGATATAATAGGTCGACCAATTATCGAGACAATAATGTAAAAACTTTCCACCGAAGTATGTATACTATTTTATTTTGAACCATTAATTATTGAAAAAAATAAGGTAAAAATTTGACAAAAATGGAATTTCGACTGACAGTCTGACACTGACACTGACATCTTATGAAATTTTAACAATATAAACACATGTGACATCTACTTCATAAATACAAACATTGCACCTGGATTTGTGTTTAGGCGTGAAAGATCAATTTATCAGGGCCGAAAGTGAGTTCTCCAGGCTGAAAGTGACAGGAGAACTGTCACTTTCGGCCTGCTTTAAAGTAAACAAAAGTACAGTGAGATTTTCGAACCTTCAAACCAATAAGGAATGTGAAAATTACATACTATATGGTTTAAAATAAAAGTTAATACATTAGCATAATATAATATTCCTGAAAATAAGAATTTATAGAGGTTATAAGCTAACTGAAATAGTTTATAGTATTACTGGAGACATCTTGCATGCTATATTTGATGTATGAGTTTAAAATCACAAGTTTTTCCATAGAAAGTAGTGAAGGGTTGATAATTTATGAATAATACTGTATATTCATTCTATGATAAGATACATACATTGTAATACAGAATTATCATTGTTTTATCTCTCAAATAACCAGCAAAATCTTTTTAAAGGAGGGTGTCAACCTTAGATTCCCTACCTGTTTTTCGAAGTGAGGATTATTTTTGTAGGATCTAAACTGCGACAGGCCAAAGCGTTGGAATGAATTAACCTCAGAGCCGAAGTGAGCTGTATAATGTAGTTCCAAATCAACGGCTCCGGCAGTTTGTTGTTTTGCTGGTGCCTCAACAAGTTGTTTTTCTGGTAGCTGTAGGGCATCGGCGTGGACTTGTCGTTGGTAAACGGATCCGTATACCCAGGTTGGTCGATGGAGAAATGTTTGTTGAGTAACGTTTCAGATCCTGGATGATAGCTAATAAAATTACCATGTTTTTAGACAATTGTAGCCTCAAATTAATATAAGTTACCTATATACAAATACCATAGAATTATCACCAAAAGCTTTTGTAGTAAATACCTCTTTAAGCTGTACAATATTGGAATGATTTAGTTTTTTCCACAAGTCCACCAGGGACATGCATTTGGTATTTTGCAAACGAAATCCGTGGATTCTCCTCAGGCAATAATGCAATCCGGTTTTGATGTGCGTGGCTTTATACATGGACGCTTGATAGCCTAAATGGGCCTTGTGCAATACCTGATTGGAAATTGGTTCTAGTGGAAACAATTCGTGATAGCTGTCGACTTCTTGTGGAAGATCCGGATACTGGGCGGGATCGGGTTGGAGAAGGGTGAGCATGTTGCGGTTTAAAATGTCATTTTTTAGTTCTTCGGATATGAAAAATGAGGGTTCCGGTTTGCCAGGGAATGGGGTGTAATCTGAGGAAGATTGCGAGGTGGGAGTTTGTAAGGTATCTGCAGTTTCTGAAACCCAATATTTGTAAAAACCTCTTATATTATTAACCAGTATATTAGGTATACCTTCATTGTGCTCTTGGGTTGTGGCAGGATATTGATAAAAATATGTGGTACCTCCTACATTTTCTTGGTAAGGTACTACTGAGCCTCCATTGGTTGAATTAAGTTTTTCTTGATGGGATATGGGTGAGCTTGAATGGGATGGCGATTGACTTACTGAGATTGCTCCTTTTGGTATTGAATTAATTTTTATGAAAATTTTCAAGTTGGTGGTTTTACCTGTAGATTGAAGCTCTGGTTCTTCAAATTTTTTACTCAAAAAAGTTGCAGCTGAAGGTGATATTGAAGCATAAGAGCTACTCAATGAGAAATTATTGAGAGTTGTGTTTGGAGAATTGTTCATTCTGGGTACAAATTCTGTGACATGGTCTAGATTTAAAAAAAATAAATATAAAAATTGAAATCCTTGTTGTTGCTTTGAAATGTTATCTGAAAATTATAAGACTTTCAGAGTAAAAAGACGAAAATTGGAAGCTCATTATACTAAAGTTTCAGATTTTTCGAGTCAACAACACAATGAGAAATTAATGAAAATCAATTTAGAAAATCTAAATAACATTATTGTTAATAACAAATTTGTTCTATCAGTGGAGTGTCAACAATAAGAATAATTAATATTAAAAATATCCTAAAATATAAATTAATCAGGATTCACAGTTTCCTATTTTGTTGTTTACTCTCCAGATTTTTGCCTGGCCTATACCTACTTCCCAATAGTAATAATGATTGGATCTCATAATTATATTACAAATAATAAGTTTATAATAATTTGTTAATATCAGATGCACACTGTCGCTACTCCCCTGGGTTCCTAGTTGTTTTATGCTGATACTTGCTCAGCTGATAATAATTTCTAAGGTTTGGATATTCAAATAATTGGAGACCCTTTAATTTTCGTTTATCCCAAAACGATAAGTAATGTGGTTTTTTGAAACGTGGAGGAAGAAACGACGTAAAAGGCCACTAAATAAATAATAATTCACTCCATACCTTCCGATTTTTTCCTTACATAAATGGATAGTTTTAACCCTTGAGGGGTGTACAGTGTGTTTCGGAATAATTTCTGGGTGAACTTATAAGTTTAAATCTATTTACACAATGTTTAGTGATACTTTTTTACATATATTAAGTCACAAACGTCCGAGCAAACGTCAAACTCTAGGTTCTCCTTTGTAATTGTTTCAGCTGATAATGGAATTCTTATAATCCCGAAACATGTCCTAGTAGTGCTCAAACAAAAAAACAAATAAAATTTAGTGGAGAAGACTAAAGTTTTCTTTTTGTAATCAAGGGGCAAACCGCCTAGGAATTCTTTACCAAAAATGTGGGGAATTTGTGGGAAATTTGAAGGAACTTATCGAAATTTATGAGAATTTGGGGAATTTATATGGAATTTGGAGAAATTTATGGGGAATTTGTAAGGAATTAAAAGAAAATTGCAGAGTCATGACGTCATTGAGGTTCACATTCTTATTATAAGAAACACTAATAAATGGAAATTAAAAAAAAAAAATCTAGTTTTGTGTTGAACGTTGGACATTCATTTCCATTAAAGAAATTCTCCCAAAATTTCATTTCATGATTTACAGGTTCAAATTTAAAAATTCAAAACAATAATGAATCCACTTTCTGTAGGCCAATTTCCAAAATTCTTCATGTTATTATTTTCCACTGGAAAAAATTGAAATTTTGGGAAAATGAGCTACTAACCTTCCTCTCCACATGCAAAAAGTTCCAAATTTTTCGTTTCACTAGTTTTCCAGGAAAACTTTGAAATGTGTGATACGGTATTTTCAACTAATTCAGTTTTTGTAAATTGATTTCCAAGATTCTTCATGTTGTTATTTTCCAGTGGCAAAATTTGAAATTTTGGGAAAATGAGCCTCTGACCTTCCTTTTCACATGTACCTAAACATTTTCAAAATTTTCCCTTAATTAGTTTTCCAGGAGAACTTTGATTTGTGTGAGACTGTATTACCAATTATTTCTGTTTTTGTAAGTTGATATCCAAGATTTTTCATATTGTTATTTTCCACTTTTTGGGAAAATGAGCTTCTCCCCTTCCTTTTACATGCAAAAAGTTTCAAAATTTTCCCTTCACTAGTTTTCCAGGAAAACTTTGAAATGTGTGAGACAGTATTTTCAACTAATTCAGTTTTTGTAAATTGATTTCCGAGATTTTTCATGTTATTATTTTCCACTGGAAAAATTTGAAATTTTGGGAAAATCTGCTTCTCACCTTCCTCTTCACATGCAATATTTTCAAAATTTTCCCTTTACTAGTTTTCCAGGAAAACTTTGAAATGTGTGAGACTGTATTTTCAACTAATTTAGTTATTGTAGGTTGATTTCCAAGATTCTTTATGTTGTTATTTTTCACTAGAAAAATTTGAAATTTTGGGAAAACGAGCCTCCCACTTCCTCTTTACATGCAAAAAGTTTCAAAATTTTCCCTTCACTAATTTTCCAGAAAAACTTTGAATTGTGTGAGTCAGTATTTTTAATTAAATCAGTTATTGGAGGTTGATTTCCAAGATTCTTTATGTTGTTATTTTTCACTGGAAAAATTTGAAATTTTGGGAAAATGAGCTTCTCACCTTTCTCTTCACATGCAAAAAGTTTCAAAATTTTCCCTTTACTAGTTTTCCAGGAAAACTTTGAAATGTGTGAGACTGTATTTTCAACTAATTTAGTTATTGTAGGTTGATTTCCAAGATTCTTTAGCCTCTCCCTTCCTCTTTACAGTCTTTACATGCAAAAAGTTTCAAAATTTTCCCTTCACTAATTTTCCAGGAAAACTTTGAATTGTGTGAGTCAGTATTTTTAATTAATTCAGTTATTGGAGGTTGATTTCTAAGATTCTTTATGTTGTTATTTTTCACTGGAAAAATTTGAAATTTTGGGAAAATGAGCTTCTCACCTTTCTCTTTACATGCAAAAAGTTTCAAAATTTTCCCTTCACTAGTTTTCCAGGAAAACTTTTTGAAATCTGTAAGAGCGTATTTTCAATTAATTTAGTTATTGTAGGTTGATTTCCGAGATTCCTCATGTTGTTATTTTTTACTGGAAAAATTTGAAATTTTGGGAAAATGACATCTTACCTTCCTCTTTACATGCGAAATAGTTCGAAATTTTCCCTTCACTAGATTTCCAGGAAAACTTTGAAATGTGTGAGATTGTATTTTCAATTAATTCAGTTATTATAAGTTAATTTCTAAGATTCCTCATGTTGTTATTTTCTACTGGAAAAATCCGAAATTTTGAGAAAATGAGACTCTAACCTTTCTCTTCACATGCAAAAAGTTTCAAAATTTTCCCTTCACTAGTTTTCCGGGAAAGCTTTGGAATGTGTGAGACTGTATTTTCAATCAATTCAGTTATTGATGGTTGATTTCCAAGATTTTTCATGTTGTTATTTTCCACTGGAAAAACTTGAAATTTTGGGAAAATGAGCTTCTCCCCTTTCTTTTTAAATGCAAAAAGTTTCAAAATTTTCCCTTCACTAATTTTCCAGGAAAACTTTGAATTGTGTGAGACAGTATTTTTAATTAATTCAGTTATTGTAGGTTGATTTCTAAAATTCTTCATGTTGTTATTTTCCACTGGAAAAAATTGAAATCTTGGGAAAATGAGCTTCTCACCTTCCTCTTTACATGCAAAAAGTTTCAAATTTTTCCTCTCACTAGTTTTCCAAGAAAATTTTGAAATGTCTGAGACTGTATTTTCAATTACTTAATTCAGTTATTGTAGGGGGATTTTCAGGATTCTTCATGTTATTATTTTCTACTCTCGATTGAATTTATTGTTAAAGGTCTTGAAAACTTTCTAGAGTATTTGGAGGAATTTGCAGGAATTTTGAGGAATTACGCGTGAAAAAATCCCCTTTGAGGAATTGTTTGCACAAATTTTGACCGAGGGGCTTTTTACCTGAGGAAATTGGTTTACAAATTCCTGGGAATGCTTGGAAATAGCTAGAAATACTTGGAAGTATCTAGAAATACTTCGGAAATACCTAGAAATGCTTAGAAATTTCGAGGAACACCTAGAAATACTTTAAAATACTTGGAAATACGTGCCGAATGATGTGAGAAAACATTTTGTTTTTGAGTTTCCTGAGCGCTGCTTCTTCTAATAAATTACATAGGTACTTTTTTTGCATTTTTACAGTGCCAGTTTGTTTTATTTGATTGTGAGAACCCTGGATTATCCAAAAAAAGAGGTCAAAAAGCAGTAATAACAAGGATAATAAAGAGTCTTGTATTACCATTGAATTAAATGATGGTCGAAGTATATTGGTAAGAAAGTCTGCATAATGTTGGTTTTTTATGCTAATAATAGTAACTTTCTACTGACCGCATTTATAGAGTTTAAGGGATTTGAAACCACAAAAAGTCAAAATCCAGAAAAACAGTTTTCTCTAGAGTTTTTTTTTTTTTTTTTTTTTTTTTTTACACGGATATGCGCACTCGCAAGGAAATGTCCTATCACGCTCGAGAAGCGGTTTCTAGCGGATCTTTGATCTTTGATTAAAATTCCTCAAAAAAGAATTCCTTACATTGAAAAGTTATAGGTAGCTCCTCTAATTCATGATCGTGTTTTGATTCTGAGAACTTTTCTTTAAATACTATGCCATCTATTTTGATGAAAATTGGTATGTAAGCAGACTTTTGAGAATGACTAAAAAAATCTTGTAACATGAAATTAAAAAGAAATTTAGACAATTTTGAATGGCCTTTGAGAGAAGATAGTAGAGTGATTGGGAATATTTTTTTTTTTTTTTGGCCCTATCAGCCTATTTTAAGTTTTGTTGGTACCTACCTAGAGGTGTTTGGTTTCTTCTACTTTCAGTGTACCTTGTCAAATCAATGTAGTGGTAACAAAATGAAATTTAGCCTATTGTTTAAATTGAATTAGCTACTAGGTAAAACTTTAAAATATTAAGAGAATACTTGGAAATACCTGGAAATACTTGGAAATACTAAGAAATATGTACTCAGAAATACTTTGAAATACTAGGGAATATTTGGAAATACTACTTAGAAATACTCGAAAATACATGGAAAAACTGTGAAATGTTAAGAAAAATGGAAATCGGTGTACAAATTTTGGTAGGTGAAAAGCCCCTCGGGTTTAGCCCTTGTTTGTAATTTACAAAGCTCCACTGTAAGAAAATTGACTATTTTTTCAAATCTAAATAAATTAAGCACAAATGCAATCTCTTACATAGTAATATTTTTCTTGAAAACTACTGAAGGGAAAATTATAAAACTTTTAAGATAAAAAAAGAAAAATTAGGAGCTCATCATATTAAAATTTTAACAGTTTTCAACTGAAAACAGCAACAAGAGAAATTCATGAAAATTAACTTCAAAAAAACCATATCATGCATAAATGCATCCTCTTACATCTAGAAAACTAATAAATGTTTTCTATTTCAGACTACTTACTAGGTAAATTATGAATATTTAAAACAAATTCGATAGCCTGAAATAGGAAACTTACTAGGTATTTATCTATGAATGGGTTTCTGACACAAAAAAAAGCCCACTGGATTTTTGTCTTTGTCAATATTGATGGTGGGTTTTTGTGTATTGGTAATACATTGTAATACCTAGCAATACCATAGACTATTACCTAAAAAGGGTAATAGGTGTAACATAGGTACAAATTCTGATAAGTGGTTGATCCCCTGGGATGGATTATACTTTGGTAGAAAAGATTTTCTCTACACCAGCCGGAGATGGTATTGTTGGCAAAAATTACTCAAAAAGTTGCAGCTGAAGGCTGCTCAATGATAAATTATTGAGAGAATATTTATTGTTCGTTCTAGGTACAAAAAAAAAATAAAAATTGAAATTCTATTGTTGCTTTGTATATACTTTCAAATGACCTCAATAAAATTGTTACAAATTCCAAAAATTCTTTAATTTTAGAAAGTTTTTATTAAATGAATTACAGGAGCAACAAAATAATTTTCAATCTGAAGACTCGAAGACAAAAAAAATTAAGTACAAAGTTTGTACTTTGAAGAGATAGTTTATGGACTTTTACTCGTTTATACTGATAAATAAATAAAAAATTAAACTCTAATCTACAAATACAAATAATTAAAAATAAAAATACTGAAAAAATTACTTGTTCTACCCAGCTGTGACAATGTTGAATGGGGACGAGAGCTCGGAGACATCCAATCCATCAGGATAATTTTATTCTGAGGTACAATTCAATAAAAATTAATAATGTTTTAATTGAATCGAGCACATAATCCTTCCTAGAACTTAAAATTTCCCAGTCTTTTGCCTTTTTCGAAATATTTTGCGATTTTTTTTCGTTTTTTTGGAAAAGATCTATCATCTCTTGAGGGTCGGCGAATGTTTGACAGCCAGTTGTCAAAATGGCAACGTTGCTCGAAAAATCGATAGACGGCGCCATTGATTTTACAGATTCCTGTAACAATAATTCAAGGTTTAAGCTACAATTTTTATATTTTTTTGTGGATTTTTAATTATTAACAACTTTATTAAAGCATATTTAACATCTATTGTTCTTATTTTTAAGTGTTTTTCATTAAAATAAATTATTATAAATAATAGATGGCGCCACTAAATACAGCCTTATGTCACTTGTGTTTACTTTTTTTAAAAATTTAAGGTTATGTTTATTACAGTTATTTGTTTAGATTTTGGTTGGCCCTTTGAGCATTTTTTAATTCATTGATTAATTAATGTGTGTAAACAACATCTAAATGTATTATTTGTATTTAGGTTGTCTTCTCAAGAAACTCCCAATAAAATGAGTAGTGAAACGGTGGAAAATACTCGTATTGAAAAGATAATTGCCGAAATCAACTCGAAAAATGCTAAAAAAGTAGCCCTGTTTCTAGTTCTGTGCTTTGCCTGTTACCACGCTCTGTTGCATGTGAAATATGGTAAGTCGAAAAATCCAAAAATTCATTCAGTTGTTAGACCTTTCAAAGTTTTCCAAAATCTAAATCATAATGTATAGTTCGCCTTACGAGTCTAGCACTACGACGTCTGAAAGGCAAGGGGGAATAACGCCATTTATTTGGAGCTCTATGCTGCCTGTCATAGGCGTAAGCGCAGCGTTTTCAAATCTTACTTTTTCCTTATAAATGTAGGTGTGTAACATATAAATATTGAAGTATTTTCTATTGGAATTCAAATAGGCATTATTGCAATTTTTTATCCGCATTCTTTCCATAGTGCTAGACTCGTAAGGCGAACATTAGGTTTGTCGAGATTTTGTATCCTAATGGTCAATCAACATCCACCAAACCATACACTAAATTATTCTCAGATTTGAAGCCGAAATCTATGAAAAAAGGCACTCACAAAAATTGATAAATCACCCCAAATTGCTTAACACGATTTTATCTCAGGAAGTATAAGTGCAAATGTGCTGAAATTTCCAGGGATTGTAGTTCCTTGATTAGGATAAAATTCAGTAAAAGTTTCAGCTTTCTATCTATAATAGAAAAATAGTTATGACCTTTCAAAGTTTTCCAAAATCTAAATCATAAGGTACCTACCTTCTTACTAAAACGATGAAATTTCAATTTTTTTTTTGTTGAGATTTTGTATCCTAATGGTCAATCAACATACCCCAAACTCCATACACTAAATTATTCTCAGATTTGAAGCCGAAGTCTATGAAAAAAGGCACTCAGAAAAATTGAAAAATTGATAATTCACCCCAAATTGCTTAACACGATTTTATCTCAGGAACTATAAGTGCAAATGAGGTGAAATTTTTAGGGATTGTAGTTCCTTGATTGGGATAAAATTCAGTGAAAGTTTCAGCTTTCTATCTATAATAGAAAAAAAAGTTATGACCTTTCAAAGTTTTCCAAAAAAATCATAAAGGGAGTACCGAGGGGAGTACCTTCTTACTAAAACGATGAAATTTAAAAAAAAAATTTGTTGAGATTTTGTATCCTACTGGTCAATTAGCAACCCCCAAACTCCATAAACTAAATTATTCTCAGATTTGAAGCCGAAATCTAAGAAAAAGGGCACCCAGAAAAATTGAAACATTTATAAATCACCCCAATTGCTTAACACGATTTTATCTCAGGAACTATAAGTGCAAATGAGCTGAAATTTTAAGGGATTGTAGTCCTTTGAAAGGGATAAAATTCAGTGAAAGATTCAGCTTTCTATCTATAATAGAAAAAAACGAGGGGTTAACCACTCTGTAAAAATGTGTACAGGGTATTTGATTATATTTGGCACCATACCTACAGCCTTTACTATTTAAGATAGAAAAAAATTGTAAATACAAAACTTGACAGTTTTTTTCTATATTTTCTTTTAACATTATCAGAAAAAACAAAATCGCATCGGAAAATGGAGCAACGTAGACAACTTCGACTTTTTTAAATGGAACACCCTGTATATTTTGCGATAAAATGAAAGACCTTTTCTTCCTGATTACAAATATATATATGCTGATCACATTTGCATGAGCCATTTTTGACATATCTCTGGTTAAATTATAAAGAATTTGAAGTTCCATAAGGATCTCTATCTTTATAAAATTTCTTTGCAATTTAGTTATAATTTAAGCTGAGATATGTCAAAAATGGCTCATGCAAATATGATCAACATATACATATATATTTGTTATCAGGAAGAAAAGGTCTTTCATTTTATCGCAAAATATACAGGGTGTTCCATTTAAAAAAGTCGAATTTTTCTACGTTTCTCCATTTTCCGATGCGATTTTGTTTTTTCTGATAATGTTAAAAGAAAATATAGAAAAAAACTGTCAAGTTTTGTATTTACAATTTTTTTCTATCTTAAATAGTAAAGGTTGTAGGTATGGTGCCAAATATAATCAAATACCCTGTACACGTATTGCGAAAATGTCGTTATTTCGCAAGTATTTCGCGAAATGCGAAATTCAAAGTATTTCGGTGGTGGTAATTCGAACCTAGTTTTTTGTGGTATTGCCGGGTATTCCAAAATATTTGCAGGTAATTCTTCGTATTTCGAGGTAATTTGAAGTATTTCGAGGTAATTCGGAAGTATTTCGCGGTAAGCCGAGTTATTTCGCGCTATTTAAAATTATTAGTATTTTCTTATGCTCGGAGAATAATTAATTCTTTATCACCCAAAATTGAAATATTATAGAATGAAAATTATAGTCCATCTTCGAACAGGCTAAATCGAGGGCTAAATATGCTTACATAATTTGTATTTACTGCAGATTAATTGAAACAAATGGAAAGATATACCTACTACCTGATATGTATAAGTAATCAGTATTAGTAAAGTGTCATTTACATCCACTCAACTTAACTTAACATACAGAAAATTAATAATTAAGAAAAGTTGATGATCATAGTATACTTATCTGTAGTTGTTTACATCCACTTAAAAATTAAAAAAATTGACGTAACACACGGAAAACTGAACCAACTGCAACTTGAGGAAATCCGTACGTTAATTTCAATAATAATTATTATGAATGACAGACAGATTGCACTAGTCTGTAAATTATCAGTTTTGTACTCAGATTAGTTTCGTAAGTTAATTATAATTTTCCGTACGTTAAGTGGATGTAAATGACCCATAAGTTGTTAATAGTACAAGGTCATCGGTCATCCAACGAGGACTGAACAGGGGTTGACAGGGGATTATTTTTGACTTTCCCTGTATTTTTGAGAAAATTGAAAATAGCCAATTGGAATTTTTTTTTCTGGAGAACTCAAAAATGATACTAAAAAATCATTTGAACCAAAAACTAAAGAGTTAAATACACCATGGATGAGCGGTTTTTTAAATGCACAACAGCCTGTTTTTTGTATGATTTTTGGAGAAGTCACACTTCCCATTCTGTCAGAAAATATCTGATATTCCGATAGCTGTTTTTATCTTATTTCAATGTTTTATTCTTATTGCTGCAACTATTGATTTAATTGTTGTTTGTGTGTCCAAATATAATCCATCATATCAAAAGATACAAAAATCCAAGCAAAAATTCTTCACTGTGATCCAGAAGAAGGGGGATACCTTCTTACCAAGCTTCTTACTAGAACGATGTTATTTCCAATTTTTTTTTTGTCGAGATTTTGTGCCCTAATGGTCCCTCGTGATATCCTGAACTCCATAAACTAAATTATTCTCAGATTTGAAGCCGAAATCTATGAAAAAAGGCACTCAGAAAAATTGATAAATCACCCCAAATTGCTTAACACGATTTTATCTCAGGAACTTTAAGTGCAAATGAGAATATATAGATAAAATAGAAAAAAAGTTATGACCTTTCAAAGTTTTCCAAGATCTAAATCATAAGGTAGGTATCTTTTTACTAAAACGATGAAATTTCAATTTTTTTTTTGTCGAGATTTTGTATCCTAATGGTCAATCAACATACCCCAAACTCCATACACTAATTTATTCTCAGATTTGAAGCCGAAATCTATGAAAGAAGGCACTCAGAAAAATTGAAAAATTGATAAATCACCCCAAATTGCTTAACACGATTTTATCTCAGGAACTATAAGTGCAAATGAGCTGAAATTTTCAGGGATTGTAGTCCTTTTCAAGGGATAAAATTCAGTGAAAGTTTCAGCTTTCTATCTATAATAGAAAAAAAGTTATGACCTTTCAAAGTTTTCCAAGATCTAAATCATAAGGTAGGTATCTTTTTACTAAAACGATGAAATTTCAAATTTTTTTTTGTCGAGATTTTGTATCCTAATGGTCAATCAACATACCCCAAACTCCATACACTAAATTATTCTCAGATTTGAAGCCGAAATCTATGAAAAAAGGCACTCAGAAAAATTGATAAATCACCCCAAATTGCTTAACACGATTTTATCTCAGGAACTATAAGTGCAAATGAGCTGAAATTTTCAAGGATTGTACTCCTTTGAAAGGGATAAAATTCAGTGAAAGTTTCAGCTTTCTATCTATAATAGAAAAAAAGTTATGACCTTTCAAAGTTTTCCAAAATCTAAATCATAAGGTAGGTGGTACCTTCTTACTAAAACGATGAAATTTCAAAAAATTTTTTGTCGAGATTTTGTGTCGTAATGGTCAATCAACATACCCCAAACTCCATACACTAAATTATTCTCAGATTTGAAGCCGAAATCTATGAAAAAAGGCACTCAGAAAAATTGATAAATCACCCCAAATTGCTTAACACGATTTTATCTCAGGAACTATAAGTGCAAATGAGCTGAAATTTGCAGGGATTGTAGTCCTTTGAAAGGGATAAAATTCAGTGAAAGTTTCAGCTGTCTATCTATAATAGAAAAAAAGTTATGACCTTTCAAAGTTTTCCAAAATCTAAATCGTAATGTACCTACCGAGGTACCTAAATCATAAGGTAGGTACCTTCTTACTAAAACGATGAAATTTCAAAATTATTTTTGTCTAGATTTTGTATCCTAATGGCCAATCAATATACCCCAA